CCAAGACTGGAAGAGGAAGCCAAGGTCTGTCCTGACCGGCGAAACCCCTTGGATTCAAGTACAAACTGTTCCCCCAGTCTTGGGGACCCCCGCTCCCCACTCCACACCGATCAGGTGGCAGCCGGGCGCAGGCAGGGGCACCTTCTGGCTGCCCGAAGGGGACTGGGCGAGGGTACAGGAAGTCGGGGAAACCCCCGGTGACCAGGGACCCAGGCTTCCCAGCGGCCTTCTTGCCGCCGCCAGCACCCCGGAGCCAGCTCTCAGAGCCCCGCGCCCCCGCGTAGAGGACTGAGGTGTCACTGGGAACTTTGCGGAGCCTTCGCGCGAGCTGGCGGTAGAGACCGACCCGAGCGAGGCTGAGTCATCCTCGCCCAGCCAAGCGCAACTCGGGTGACCCCGCCGCGCCGAGCCGCGCTCTTGCGCTCTTGATGTCGCGGGGTCTCCCGGAGCGCCCACCGCCTGGGTTTTCATTGCCTGCCCTTCTGCAACAGGGTTTGCGGCCTCCCTGTCACCCGCCCTCAGCTGCGGCAGGTGGGCAAGGGTGGACTCCGACTTCCGCGGGGAGCTGACGAGCTAGGTGGGATCCAGGCCAGCTCTTCCCTGCAGACCCAGGAAAAGTTACCCGGGCAGATGGGCTTGATCCCCGAGTTGGTTGCGAGGGGAGAAGGCCGCCCGGGGCTATCAGTGCCTTCTCCGAGTGCGGGATTCCCTGCGTTAGGGCCAGTCGCCCTCCGATCTAGGGAGATCTAGGGAAGCTGTGCAGGGAATGGACCCCAACCGGGGAACGCCAGGTGCGCCCCGCCCACGGGCAGTGTCTACAATCTCCACGGATGACTAACCGGTTATAATGAATTCTCCGCTTCTGTGCACACCCCCTGCCTGTGGAAGCGTGCCAGTCCTTCCCAAGCGGAGCCAAATGCGGCCTGACCCCGGGCAAATGGTCCGCATGGCTTGGACGCTCAAATTAGAGGCCGGGAGAAAATTAATTTTGCCCTCAGAACATAGGAGCCTCCTTTTAAATGAACGCACGAGAGTGAAAGCGTGAGTGGGTGCGTAGGGGCCTTTACTAGCGCGGCTTCGTCCGTCAGCTCTCCGGAATCCAGCAGTCCTCCTTCCACACGCCCATTCACCCAGTCCATGACTGTCACGCATCTTCTATGTGACAGGCGCAGAGGAGCTGTAAGGGAGCCAGCCGGGCCACCTGCCCACACGGAGTTTATACACTAGGAGGAGATAGGCTTTCCTCGAGGCCATAATGACAAGTGCGTAATTATACACTTAAAGCAGGGATGGGCAAGAGTGTGTATGAAGAGGTACCTGTGAGATCCACGCTGCCGGAATGCCTGTTAACTGATGGGGAAATTGAGGCACAGCAAAATAACACAGCGTGGGCCTATAGAAAACCGTCTGGCTACTTAGACTATAGTGAGGGACACCTGGGCACCGAGATGGTAACATTTTATAATGAAGTCATTACGCTCTGCCAGCCTGACTCAGGTAATCTTCCACGTGGTCTGGGGGCAACTAAAGAGAGTAGCCTGGACACGGGGAGGCTGGTCCCTTGAGGACAGCATTTTGAGCATTTGTAACTTACAGACCATCTTTAGCAGGAAATACGTGCACCATGTTTAAGACAGGTGACATGAAACATTTCCTACTATCTCAAAAAAGAAAAATATTTAAACTATCCGATAGTAATAAATTCAAAACTCGGAACACTGCAAAGATTTGAGGTCCTATCAGTTACACACTCCTATCATTCTTTGCTGAATCACAAAAATCAGTGCCGAAAGGGACCTCTAAGCTAGCCGGTCCCATACTCCTTCTTCATTTATTTGCTAGAAGACAGCTGCACTTCCCAGAGAGGGAGACAGAGAGAGAGAGAGAGAGAGAGGAAGAAAGCACTCCTCCCCCCAGCTCCGATGGGCCACGGGTCACACCACAATCCCTCTCCCCTCTCCCCTCTCCTTTTGGGATTTCAGGCTCACAGACATGCACCCAGTGTTTTTCTAAGCTGCAGGGTCCAGGACTCCAGTGGTCAACCATGTGGGACCCAGCTCCCTTAACTGTCAGGCCACAGGCTATCTGCCTTCTCCCCACACTCTTCTTTAATAGAAAAAGGCAACAAGGCCCAGAAGGGTTTAACAGCTTGCCCAAAGACACAAAAAAACACAGAAAGAAGGGTCCCCTGCAACTGACCAAGGAGTTCTTTCAGCCATACCAGGCAGTGCCGAGGCATTAGTTCCTATTTGGCTCTTTAACCCTATAATGTGATTTTCTTTCTTTCCTCCCCCTCCTCCTCCCCCTCCTCCTCCCCCTCCTCCATCCTCCTCCTCCTCTTCTAAGGTTTTTGCCATAGGCACATGTACTTGCCAGAGAAAAACAGGTAGAGAAAGGGAGAAATCACTCCCCCCTCGGGGGTGGGGGGGATGACCACACTGCAATCCCTTCTCCTCTCAAGATTTTGGGCACACACAGAGACGCATCCCCACTGGTTCTCAAGCCACTGGGTCAAAGAGTTGTACCACAGTGGACTATGTGGGATCCACACCTTAGCCACCACGCCACCTGCTGGCCTCTAAGAGTGAATTTCAACACCTCTCAGTTGAAGCACTAAGTGGAACCCTATGAATTTTCATCAGCAGAGAGCATACCCTGTCCCACCCAGCTAAGGACGTTGCGCTTTGTCCTGCAACGAGGAGCTGTTGGTGGGGTTTCAAGAGAAGTGGAAAATGATGAAACAGGTGAATATGTTAGGAACTTGCACCTGGTCCTAGTGTGGGGGTGGATTTCTATGGAGACCCTGGAAGAGTGGTTCTCAGGGCAGGAGAGGGCATTACTCCTCAGAGGCAATTTTTTTTTTTTCTGGAGAGATTTTCACTATAGGGCACGTGCGCTCGCCAGACAGAGACATAGAGACAGAAAGCAAGAAATCACCCCCCAGGGGGGATAAGGTCACGCCACAATCCCTTCTCCTCCATTCTCCTCTCGGGATCTTGGGCACACACGCACATGCGCCCAGCGTGAGTTTTAAGCCACCAGGTCCGGGACGTGAACCGTGGTCGACTACATGGGAGTCCAGCGACATAGCCATTACGCTAACTGCTGGTTCCCTCCTCAGAGGCAATTTGAACAGTTGTGCCTATTCTGTTTGTTATAATGACTTGAGGTCCTGTTGGCATTTAGCGGATAGAAGCAGAGCAATCCCACATAAGGAAGAATGGCCCAGTGCCCCAAAGGACTTTCACACGTCCCACTGGACATTCAGGAGAAAAACCCATTTGTAACTGTCTAACTCTAGAGCTTAAATCCAGTTTATATATAGATACAAAGGAGTCTGCATGGTTCTAATAAACACGGAATCTTCCAGAAACACAACTACTGTGGAAATAAAGGGAAGGTTATCTTCCTTTTTATTCAGAACCTTACCAGGAGGTTTTATATGTGTTTGTGTTTTTCTTTGTTTGTTTGATTTTTGTTTTGTTTTTTCATTTTGGAAAATCACTTCTCCAATGGCAACCGTGCTCAGAGGTTGTGAGCTGCCAGCACGGCACGCCTGTGTTAGTGCATCCGAAGCAGGGATTCACAGCTAGTCTGCCCATGGACACAGGCATCGAGTGACTTCATGATGACGTTCCTGAGCATCTCACGTAAAGAGGAAATGGCTCTTATTTTATCATATATTGTTTCATTTCTCATTGAAATTACCAAATAAGGCAGCATATCAGTTTTCTAAAAATTCTGACTTTGGGAACCAGCAGATGGTATAATGGTTATATTGCTGGACTTCCATGCAGCTGACCATGGTTCAAGTCCTGGACCTGGCAGCTTAAAACTCAGGCAGGCACCTATGGGTGCATGTGTGCCCAAAATCCCAAGAGGAGAATGGAGGAGAATGGGTTGTGCATGGCCATCCCCCGAGGGGTCATTTCTTGCTTTCTGTCTCTCTTTTATCCAGCAAGCAGATGTGCCCTATAGTGAAAATATCTCAAAAAAAAAAAAATCTGACTATGACTAGGTCGTGGTGTCTTGGAATTTCCTATCAAGATAGTAATGGGGTGTTGGATCTAAATGGGTGAAGATCTGCTCTGAATTAGAAATGGGCACCAGCTAAAAGGCTATGATATTGCTAATAAAGATGCAAACTGCTCACCTGAAGGAGCAAGATGGGAAAGGCTTTAACCTCTGGTCCAGCAATCCCCTCTCTGGGAATTTATCTTAGTAAATGACGTCCATGTATAGTTAGACATTGCCGCATGATCGCCAAGAGCACAGGAATGGAAAGAGCCCAACTGGCTATCAGCACGTGATTGGCCGAAGACACTGATGCATCCACTCAATGAATACAAAGGAGCGATTTTTTTGTTTTGTTTTTTACTTATTTATTTTTCCTGCCATAGAGGATGTGTGCTCACCAGAGACAGAGAGAGAAGGAAAGTAAGAAATCACACCCCAGGGAGGATGGCCGTGACACAATCCCCTTATTCTTCTCTTGGGATTTTGGGCATGCAGGTATGCACATAAGCCTGGCATGTTTTTCAAGTATCTGGGTCTGGGACTTGAACCACTGAGAAGGCCATGTGGGATCCATACCTTAAGTACCACACCACCTGCTGGCCCATGAGGCAGCTACTTTTTAAAAAGAGGATGTGTCTACCTAGGGATATGAAAAGCTCTTTAGGACATACTAAGATTTTTATTTATTTGTTTTTGGAGAAGTTTTTGCCATAGGGCATGCACTTGCCAGACAGACAGACGGAGAGAAACAGAGAGACAGTGAGACATTACCCCCTAGAGGGGATGGCCACGCTGCAATTCCTTTACCTCCTTTCTTCTCTCGGGATCTTGGGCATGCATGCACATGCGCCTGGCGTGAGTTTAAGCCACAGGGTCCGGGACTTGAACCGCGGTCGACTACATGGGAGTCCAGCAACATGGCCATTATGCTAACTGCTGGTTCCATACTAAGATTTTTTTAAAGCAAGGTATAGAACCATGTGCTACTTTTGGGCAAGAAATCAGGAAAATAAGAATATGTATGTGCATTTTCTTAAAGAAACAATGGGAAGTATCACTCCCCTCCCCCTAAGAAACCACTAATAGTTACCACCTGTTTAGAGATTAAGACAAGCAGAGAAGACGGGGACAGGAGTAAGAGTGACATTTCCCAGTACATATCTTTTTAAGCAATGTTGATTTTGAGCCATATGAATATATTATTCACTCCAAACAAGCAGAGTACAGATTTCAGAGCTCTTATACCAGTTCAAATAGTGAAGTCTTCACTAGAGGGCAGGGAGCAGATAATAGAATGAATTGCGGGAGATTCTTAAAATCCTTGATTCTCTACAAAAGTGATTCTCAAACCCTTAGAGGTCTTGATTCAGGAAGTCCAAATTGAGGCAAGAGGTGAAGGGGAAGCTACAATTCGGTTACAGTAAGCTCCTTGCAGCATTCTGATGCCAGAGGCCATGGAGCACACTTTGAGGGCCCAAAACTGGTCCTCCATGAAGGGCAATATAGACCCTGGTGCAGCCATTATGGACTTTAGGGTCAAAGAAACCCAAGATCATGTCATAGCTTACCCTCATTGCTAAATGTCAGACAAGTTACCTAACCTCTCTGAACTGCCGTTTTCTCAACTCTAAAAGCTGGGTAACAGTGCTGGCAGGTGGCTTGGTGGTTGGGATATTGAACTCTCGCATGGTCAACCGCAGTTCGAGTCCCAGCCCTGGTGGGTTGCTTTCTCACTTTCTCTTTCTCTCTCTCTCTTTCTCCAATCAAATTTTAAAAAATAATAATGATAACAAAAATAAATAAATAAATAAAATAATTCTTTTCCAAAAAATGATCAAATTTTAAAGAGAAGCTGGGTAATGACATAACGAGTATGAAATGGAATAGGGTAGCTAAGTATTAGCTGACATTACTGGTCACTGTCATCCCACAAGCACAGCAAGACTCCACACCTGCCTCTTATCCTGCCTCCAGGTGTCAAGGCCACTGAACCCTTGGCTAAAGCACAGCTTCTAGTTCACCACAGCCGCCCACAAGCACGTCCATACACACATGTCACACCCACAGAACATATCCCTCCGCCACGACCACTACTGCCTGACCCAGACCTCTAGCCTTTTACCCCTAACCTCCTGCAACGGACTCCTAATGTGTCATCCCTTCTCCTTTTGCTCCCTTCAAATACATTCTTTCCTCACAAAAGGCCAGAGCCATCTCTTTAAAATCCAAACTAACCCCATACACATTCCCTGCTCAAAACCCTCCAATGGCTTGTTTGAAATTACAATGCAAGCTCCTCAAATGGTCCTGTAGCCTAGACATTAAGGGAGCCAGAACCCATATGGCCGACTACAAACAAATCCCAGCCCCAGCAGCTTGAAAAAACATGCCAGGTGCGTGTGTGTGTGTGTGTGTGTGTGTGTGCGTGCGTGCGCAGGCGCCTAGCATCCCAACATGATGGAGAAATGGAGAAGGGATTGCGGCATGACCACATGCCCCTGGAGGTGCTTCCCCCCTCTCTCTCTGTGTCTCTGGCCAGTATGTGCACCCTTTGGCAATATTTTAAAATGCAGACTCCGTACCAGGGCAGTCAAGGCCTTGGCTTCCCCAGCCTCCCTCTCCAGTGCTCTCTACACACTTTGTTCCGGCCACTTTCCTCGAAGTTCCCAGAGAAGCTGAGCCTGTGCCCACTTCAAGCCTTTGCTGTGCCCGCTACTGAATGGTCCTTCCAGGCTGCCCCATGGCTGTCGCTCACTGAATTCAAGTCTTTGCTCCAAAACCCCCAGTGGAGAGAACTCCCTGATCTCCCCAGGTTTATACACACACACACACACACACACACACACACACACACAGTCACATCTGTGCCTCTCCTGACTGTAGTTTCCTTCCTAGCAGGTATCAGCTCTGACAGTGACGTATTGTTCACACTGGGTCCCCCCATAGAAGGGATGTATGCATCTTCTTCGCCATGGGACCACAATGGCTTCATCAAGGCCTTCAATATTGTGGGGGCTCCATAAACACCAACTGAATGCCTGGAGTGGGTGTCAGCTTAAAATTCTTCTCTCCTACGGTCCCGACTCTTCCCATTCTTCTAGGCTGTAGCATCCACAAGACAGTCTTTTACAAGCACTGGATCTGCCAAGAAGAAAACCAAGGAAACTATTTCTCCAAAGAGACATCTTCAGTTCCATCTCTGTGAGAGGGTGCTGCTTAGGGGAAAAAGTGAAGGGCAGATAAGGAAGACGTCTTAAAAGCTTAAAAACACTGTACAAACGCCATCTTGAACACTGTTTTTTAAGCTGTCAGATGAAGGAGGCTTACTCATCATCCTCAAAATTCTCTTTACTATCCAACAGTGACATCATTTCTCAATGCCCAGGGTGCAGATGTGCGTGGGGGAGACCACTGTGTCCGTGGAAGAGTGTTGTGCTCTCGGGAACAGTCAGCTCTGTCTGAAATGCCGTCCTAGCAAAAGACAGCCCAAGGATGCTGTGCCAAAGTTCCTTGCAAAGAGTAGGTGCTGGGGCAACTTCAGTGGCATTTGGCCACACTGGAGGGTCCTTTCAAACATGTCTATGTCTTCTGTTGAACTGAAACCAAAGGGTCCTTGAGCCCCCAACACAGAAAACAGCAATGGGTGGGCATGGGTGTACTTAGCACCAGATCTGCCCCCCTTTATCTAGAACTGCCCCCATTCTAAGAAGGCTGTCCTGGGAAGACATGCAGGCCTGTCCAAGAGGAAGGACCTAGGAGGAGCTTGAATGTCTTGGTAAAGAGTCTGTATTTTTGTTTTACTTGCCAGAAGGCACATGTGCTGGCTAGAGAGAGACAGGACAGAGTGAGAAACACTCCCAGTGGTGCATGGTCACGTTGGCCCACAGATGTTAGAGCTGCAGGCCCTCTCGCTGCTCAAGGGTAGGGACTGAGCCTGCGTGGCTGTGGGGTCCACCAGCCCTCCTCAGCTTATCCCTACCCCATGCCCCAGCAAGAGGTCAGGCATACCAGGAGCCCTTATGGCTTTTAATTGAATAAAATGATTCCATGTATATAATTGTGTGTGTGTGTGTGTGTGTGTATGTGTGTGTGTGTGCGTAAAATATCTCGGTATGACTAGGTAAGGTGAGTATGGGTAAGTGTATGTGGGTGTGTATGTTTGTGCATATGATTGTGTGTGAGTGCCTGGATGAGTGCATGACTGTATCATATATATATTAATTTAAAAATGTGATCTTTTATGCATGTGTATGTGTGTGCGTTAACCATAACACTGCCGTTTTCTTCTCTGCAAAACGAAATCTGTCCTAGGTTAGGACAGGCCTAGCATTCAGCTGAGGGGTCCCTTTAAACCAACTTCTCACTGCTACCCTTGTCTCTGGGGAACAGTGACCACACTCTCACATACGGAGTGAGGCAGTTTCTCAGCAACTAGACTCTCTGGACAAGAGAAGAAAGCTCGTGAGAAACAAGGAGCCCTGAAATGAATAGTTGCAACATATGCCGAGGCTACTATTCTGGTTTGTTCTCCATTCAAAACGTCAAGCCAAATGGAGAAGAAGAAGAAAGTGTTCTTGCATAACACACCTTCTCGTTATCTATCTGAATCTCAAGTTGCTTGTTTTCGCAGAGGGCAGACTGCCTTCTGGAGGTTAGGAATGAAGGAAAATGCCTTTCCAGGATTGGATTTATTTCTTTGGGACTATCTTAAGAAATGACAAGGTTTCCAAGTAGCCATCTAATGAGAGCTGGCTAAATTAATCAGTGTATCATGTGAAGGGATTTCAAATAGCCGTGTGTGTGGATAAAGCAGCTTGCAAGTACTGACGTGTTCACATGGTAAGCTGTCCATAGCGAATGTGTTAAATAGAACAAAAACAACAGGTTATAAAACAGTATGTGGAGCACAAGCCCGTTCCTGTTGTAGCCATCATAGACACAGGTAAAGATATTTCACTATACGCATTTCTTTGGGTGCAAAAACTGTTAATGCTCCAGAAAATGGGTTGAGAAATTGGAGTGAAACTTTCACTTTTCTGTTTCAACATTTTGGTAGAGTGGAAGATGGTATGTCCAGAGGCGTAAAATATCTCGGTATGACTAGGTAAGGTGAGTATGGGTAAGTGTATGTGGGTGTGTATGTTTGTGCATATGATTGTGTGTGAGTGCCTGGATGAGTGCATGACTGTATCATATATATATTAATTTAAAAATGTGATCTTTTATGCATGTGTATGTGTGTGCGTTAACCATAACACTGCCGTTTTCTTCTCTGCAAAACGAAATCTGTCCTAGGTTAGGACAGGCCTAGCATTCAGCTGAGGGGTCCCTTTAAACCAACTTCTCACTGCTACCCTTGTCTCTGGGGAACAGTGACCACACTCTCACATACGGAGTGAGGCAGTTTCTCAGCAACTAGACTCTCTGGACAAGAGAAGAAAGCTCGTGAGAAACAAGGAGCCCTGAAATGAATAGTTGCAACATATGCCGAGGCTACTATTCTGGTTTGTTCTCCATTCAAAACGTCAAGCCAAATGGAGAAGAAGAAGAAAGTGTTCTTGCATAACACACCTTCTCGTTATCTATCTGAATCTCAAGTTGCTTGTTTTCGCAGAGGGCAGACTGCCTTCTGGAGGTTAGGAATGAAGGAAAATGCCTTTCCAGGATTGGATTTATTTCTTTGGGACTATCTTAAGAAATGACAAGGTTTCCAAGTAGCCATCTAATGAGAGCTGGCTAAATTAATCAGTGTATCATGTGAAGGGATTTCAAATAGCCGTGTGTGTGGATAAAGCAGCTTGCAAGTACTGACGTGTTCACATGGTAAGCTGTCCATAGCGAATGTGTTAAATAGAACAAAAACAACAGGTTATAAAACAGTATGTGGAGCACAAGCCCGTTCCTGTTGTAGCCATCATAGACACAGGTAAAGATATTTCACTATACGCATTTCTTTGGGTGCAAAAACTGTTAATGCTCCAGAAAATGGGTTGAGAAATTGGAGTGAAACTTTCACTTTTCTGTTTCAACATTTTGGTAGAGTGGAAGATGGTATGTCCAGAGATATTAACATGCAAAATATTTTGGCCAGCCTGGTGGAATGGTGATTAAGGCAGGTGGATCCCACACAGCCAACTGTACAGTTCGAGTCCTGGACCCAGTGGCTTGAAAACCACACCGAGTTCGTGTGTATGCATGCCCAAAAGCTCAAGAGGAGAAGTGGAGGAAAAAGGATTGTAGTGTGTTCATCCCCACCAGGGGGTGCTTTCTCATTGTCACTCTCTCTCTCTCTCTAGCAAATGCAAGCACCCTCTAGCAAAAAAAAAAAAAAAAAAAAACTCAAAAATAAAATAATAGGAAGTGGGCCAGCTCTGTGTCCTGTTGATTAAGGCAGTGGGATCCCACATGGTCTACCACATAGTCTGAATCCCAGATCTAGAGGCTTGGGAATCCCAAAGGGTGTAAGAAATGGAAGAGGAGTAATTGGGGTATGATCATTCCCCAGAGTGGCACTTTCTCCTCTCCCTCTGTCTCTGTCTCTCTGGCAAGTGCATGCAACCTCTAGCAAAAAAAAAAAAAAAAAGAAAAAGAAAAAGAAACCATCATAAGCAAGCCCCTCAATAAGGGAAGATCACAACATGGAAATTAAAGACCTTAGAGAAGTGATAATGTGACAACGGGAGAGGATCAAACACAAGCTCATAGAGAATAGAGAAGGAATTGCAGTGTGGCTATTCCCCCTGGAGGGGGGTGTGTGTGTGATTCCTCATTTTTCCTCTCTCTGTATCTCTCTCTTCTCTCTCTGACAAGTGCACATGCCTTATGGGGCAAAAACTTAAGAAAAAAAAATGCCTAGGAATAAACTATGTCAACATAAAATAGTAAACTGAGTCAAAGCATGTAAGGCAAAAGGAATTTATCTGGTCATAAGGATGAGGACCCCAGCCAGAACACAGTCTGGATGAATATTTTTGGGTAACCCTGAACTTCCTTACTGAGGCCTTAAAACTCTCAGACATATTTTAAAGGAAAAAACTGCAAGGAACAAAAGAGGGGAAAGGAAATTATACCAGTTGTTCTGAGGCAATTATCCTTGACTACCAGGACCAATAACAAGGGTAGTGTCAGTCCAAGGTTGGACAGCTGGTCTATGGGCAGAGGTAGTTCTTGTGTCAGGCTGCAGTGGTCTTTGTGCAAGGTTGTGGTTCTGTCAGAGTTCTTTAAAATACAGTTCTTGGGGCCAGCAGGTGGTGTAGTGGTTAAAGCACTGGATTTCTACATAGGCAACCACAGTTAGAGTCCTGGACCTATCAGGGCACTGCTGTGTGATACTGGAGTCATATGGGAAGGCCCTGGGTTCAGATCCTCAGGCTACAAGAACACACCAGCCATATGCCCTAGCTATGATCCTAGGTAAGACTAGGTGGCGAATGGGGGGGACACCCCAGTGTGTTGTCTCTCTCTCTCTCTAAAAGAAAGAAACTTATAAATAAAGAAGTCTCAAGAATTAAACATTGTGATACTATATAATGAACAGATATCATTAGATCAAAAAATAAAAACAACACAGCATAGAAAATGTAATAAACCAGGGGCCAGCAGGTGGCATGGTGGTTAAGGCACTGGACTCCCATATGGCCAACCATGGTTCAAGTCCTGGACCCAGTGGCTTGCTTTCTCACTTTCTCTCTCTCCGGCCGAATTTCAAAAAGTAATAATGATAATGATGAATAAAACTTTTTAAAAGAAAATGCAATAAGCCTACTAAATACTATGCAGGCCTTTCATATATTGTTAAAGGAGGATCTCAATGAAAAGGAAAATGAACTATACTTGGGGCCAGTGGGTGGCGTGGTGGTTAAGGTACTGGACACTCCCACATGGCTGACCATGGTTCAAGTCCTGGACCTGGTGGCTTGCTTCCTCACTTTCCCTCTCCTTCTCTCTGTGTCTCTCTCTGGTCAGATTAAAAAATAAATGAATGAATAATTAAAATTGATTATTAAAAAAAAGAAAAGAAAATGAACTATACTTGATATTGAGACCATTGAATATCTGTCATCTAGAGAAATTAAATTTAGGTTCATATCACAGTTCAGGGTAAATTTTATTTGGATAGAAGATTTAAATATAAATAAACA